CTGGGTTAGGTCAGGTTAAGGTCAACCCTAACCCTGACCCCCCAAGGCTAAAATTTCGGATTGGGTTCAGGCTAAACTCATGTTGGCCCTACTTCTCAACTTCCTTTTGAAAAATGTACTTATTCCTTAGATTCTAACGGTTCATGTTAATTCAAATCAGCAATTTAGCATTATTATGTATAAAATAACACAGTTACCATGTTTCAGAAAAAAAAAATGCCTTTAAACTAAAAATTCTTGACATATAATATATAGGAATACATGTATAGATTGATAAATAAATAGATAAATATGCACATACATAAATACTCACAATAAAAAAATAATTAAATATATAGATATATACATTTATGGATGCATAGGTGGTGTAGATTGGAGGAACTGGTAGATTGGGGCTTTTCACTGGAAGTAGAGAAGTAATGGAGGAACTGGAAAGAAATTTTGAGATCCAAGAAATCAAATATGTTGTTTTCTCAATGGAAAGATCTAAATCCCCAGGTCCAAATGGTTTTACGGTGGCCTTTTACCAAGATTGTTGGGAAATCATAGGTGGGGATTTAATGGAGGTGTTTCTAGAATTCTTTGAGAGGGGTAGGATTAACTTGGGTGCCAATGCTATTTTTACAGCTTTGATTCCCAAAAAGATGGATGCAAGACAACCAAAGGCTTTTAGACCCATTAGTTTGTGTGGCAGCATGTACAAGATCATCTCTAAAGTGTTAGCCTCAAGAATTAAAAAGGTATTTCCTTATCTAATTTCTCCAAATCAGGGAGCCTTTGTGCCTGGGAGACAAATCATGGACCAAATCCTTATTGCCGATGAGTGTGTTGACTACAGAAAGGGAAAAGGAGAGAAGAGGCTGATTTGCAAACTTGACTTGGAAAAGGCTTATGACTTGGTCGTTTTAGGCTTTTTACTGGAAGTTTTGAGAAACAGAGGTTTTAGAAAAAGGTGGTGTAGGTGGGTAAAAGGTTGTGTGTCTTCATGCCACTACTCTATTTTGATGAACGAGGTAGCCAGTGGATTTTTCCCTACAAAGAGAGGTCTAAGACAAGGGGACCCTGTCTCTCTCCCTTCCTTTTTACCTTAATAGTGGATGTTTTGAGTGTTATGATTTCCAGAGTTGACTCCAAAAATCTTTTTAGTGGGTGGAGAGTAGGGAGGCAAGAAGTAGTTGTCACTCATTTACAATTTGCAGGTGATATAATTCTCTTTTGTAAGGGAGAGCTTGAGGAGATGGTTAATCTAAAATTACTAGTAAAAAGTTTTGAAAAGGTTTCTAATTTGAGCGTGAGTTAGAATAAAAGTTGTGTGGTTGGGATTAATAGATCAAATGAGGAGGTGTCTTCTTGGCTAGGATGTTAAGTTGTGAGTGGAGTGATTGGCTTATAAAATACTTAAGTTTACCTCTAAGAGGAAACCCAAAGTCAAAAAGCTTCTAGTACCCAATCTTGGAAAGACTCACAAAGAGACTAGCAAGGTGGAAGAGGAATTATATCTCTTTAGTAGGTAAAATCACTTTAATTAAGTCGACACTAGCAAATTTGTTGGCGTACTTCCTATCTACCTTCAAAGTGCCTGCTAAGGTTGCAAATCAGTTGAAAAAAGTAATGAGAGATTTCCTCTGGGAATCTGGGGAATCAAAAAAGGATCACTTAGTAAAATGGGAAGTGGTCTCTAGGACAAAAGACAAAGGGGGTTAGGGATTGGAAATGCCCAATTAAGAAACACAGCACTGTTAGGTAAGTGGTTGTGGAGGTTTCCCAAGGAGCAAGAAAGTTTGTGGCGTAGAGAGATAGAAAGCATAGATGGATTGGCAGCTAATGGATGTGATGCTGCTCTCAACCCAAGGGCTTCTCATTCCTCTCCATGGAAAGACATTGTTAGTATCTTGCCCGCCTTTTCTCCTTTCATTAGGTATGACGCTTGTTTGGGTAATAAGGTCCTTTTTTGGGAGGACATTTGGATTTGGGACCAGCCTCTAAAGGATAGGCTCCTAGCCCTCTACTCGCTGTTCTTGAACAAATTTAAAATCATCTCTACTTTTCGTGTTTCTGGAAAGCCATGGGATCTAAGGTTCAGGAGAGGGTTGAGGGAGTCAGTAATAAGGTTGGTAGATGATCTTTCCTCTTTTCTAAACTCGGTGTTTTTGGACCAATCTTGTCCTAATATTAGAATTTGGTATAAAGAGTCCTCCGGTTATTTTTCTTGCTCTTCTTTCTTCAATGCTTTAGTGCACTCTTCCAAATTATTTTACTCTTTTCCTGTAAAAGAAGTGTGGAGTGCTCCTGTAACTCTAAAGGTGAGGGCCTTTTGTTGGGAAGTGGTTCTCCAAAAAATCAACACTTTGGATTTGCTTTAGAGAAAAAGACCAAATTGGTGTTTATCCCCTCATGTTTGTAGCCTTTGCTTGAAGAGCGATGAAATAGTAAATCATCTACTAATCTCTTGTCCTTTTGCTACTCTTATTTGGGATTGGTTTTCCTCTCTGAGTCTCTATTTGGGTGCAAGTGGGTTCCTCCTACAAGCATGATGGATCTTTTTGAATCTAGCTTTTTCTGTCAACCAAAGAAAAGAGGAAGGGCAATATGGAGAACAACGAGGGCAGCAGTTGTTTGGGCAATGTGGGAAGAGAGAAATAACAGAATCTTTCAAGGGAAAGAAAAATCAGCACATGAAGTCATAGAAGGGATCATCATCAAGGTTATACACTAGCTGAAATCGCTGGACCTGTTCAACGACTTTTCTTTAGATGCCTTGATTAGAGGGCGGAGTACAGTAGTATCTTCTTGCTGCCCCTCTTTAGCTATCCAAGAGGACTGCGCCCCCCCTTTAACTATGGTTGTTAAGCTAAACTTTGATGGCAGCACTGTAGGCAATCCAGGCCCCTCTGGAATTGGGGGTGTCTTTAGAGATGGGGGGGGAGTCCTGGCCCTTTTTTTTCCTGCCCCAATAGGCTTGGAGGACTCTCTTAGAGTAAAAGTTCTGGCACTCCTACAGGGGCTCAAATTGTCTAAACAGTTGGATTTCTAGCAGTTGGAAGTGGAAGGAGATTCAAAACTGGTAATAGGTTGGATGCAAACAAACAGCTTAGGTGCCTGGTCCCTTAGACAACTTGTAAAGGAGATTATGCAACTAACAAGGGAGCTTGAAGTTTGTTTTAAATGGACTAGGAGATCAGCCAATGCAATGGCCAATACTTTAGCAAAGTAAGGAGTTAGTAGGCAAAACCTTTTTTGGGCATGTTTGTAATTTTGATGAGGGCTTACATTGTTTTTGAAGGTGACAGTTTGTACCAAGTTTTTTAAAGAATTAATGAAAGTTACCATTTCCCATCAAAAAAATTTATGGATGCATAGTTGTATATGCATACATGCATAAATTTTTTCATATACATGCATAAATACATATTTATATAGTATTCATACATGCAAATATGAAGTTAAGTGAGGTTCGGGTTGGGTCAGGTTGGTCAAGAACTCAAGCCCAACCAAACCCAAAGCTAAGTCAGGTTCATACTTTTCAACCCTAACCCAACCCAATCCTAGTTTTTCAGGCTGTTTTTGGGCTAAGCAAGACCAAGTTGCAGCCCTAAGAATACTTCTACTCATTTAGTATCTCATTGACCTGTTCAATTGCAATTAGAGGGGTTGCTAACTATAGAATATTTTATTCCATAATCAGTCAAGCATTGTTTGTACACATATGATGAAGTTGAAGACAGAGAGTGTTTTGCACCCAAAGCAATGGTTAGAATTCATATATGATAAATGATACTTTATGGAGTGAAGTAGGAAAAAGAACTGCAAATGTTTGTGCATAAGAAAATGAGAAAATATAGTTGAACAATGATAAAATAAACAAAGAGTTATGATGGTAGTTTACAACAACCTCAACAAAGAAAATAAAACAAAACAGAAAGCTATGGTTTAACTCTGAGTAGCTACATGTTTTTGGGAGATAGAGGGTAAGTCGGGATAGAATTTTGAAGATAAAATTAAACAAAAGGTCAATCCACAGTAGCAGTGGTATTGGCATCAAAGACAAGTCATAATATGAGTTTGTGCAATACAAATATTAATGCACACAAGCAGTCTTGACAAACAAAAAAATAACAGCTTCTATACATAGTGTATTACAAAATGATTATTTTCCTCTAAATATATACTTTCTAGAGTGTTTGTTTCTTTTTTAATTTGCAAAAACAAATATATCTTAAAAGTTAATTTATATGCTCTTAATTTTTGTCTTGAAGGCATAGACTCTATTTAATTTTATCAGATGGAACAAAAACTAAAACATTTCTGCACTAAGAATTTGTAAAAAAGATATTTTCACCCAAAACTACAAAATCAAAAATGAACCTAATGAATCTAAAGAAAGGAAGAAAATCCCAACCAAAGCACAAAAAGAATAAAGCAAATGGTTTTCATGAAAATTAACATAACGCACTTTAAACCAATGTTCTAAAATTCTGAAGCGTTGTGTGAGTTATTGCGCAAGGAGGTGAAAGCCTCAAGCATGTAATATCTATAGTTATAGTTGAAATTTTTAATAAGAAGACATCATATTCAAATAAAAACAGATATTTTAGGAATTAGTCCTTATTTTCAACTAATTGATTTGAAGTCAGGAATGCTTTTTTCCATAAATAAAATAATCAGGGATCTTTGATTGATTGTTGATGTTATTACATCTTTGATTGTGTACGTACAAAGAAAATTGGCTCAGGATAGCAATAAGAATAGTAACACCATGAAGTAAAAGCAAGAGGAATATGGAAATAACTGATTACTAACTCTGTTAATAAGCATTTGAAGTTCAAAAATACTCTAAATCAATCTGAGTTATCAAGTTAAGAATTGACTCTTTCACCCTTTTTTGTGAATCATCTTGTTTCGGAACTGTCTTTTGATTAGTTGTTTTTAATTGTTAAAAAAATAACAAAAAAAGAGCACAGCGAAGTAAGCGATCAGCATTTAGTAGCCAGAGCACATACCTTTAGTCGCAGGTTTTGTGGTTGAACTTCAAACACATAACAGCAGGCTTCTGTTTTCAGAAATGGAACAAGCTCAGTAAGAAGAAGAAGAAGAAGAATTAGAAGAGGGTCCGCTATCTCGTCTATCAAAGAACAATTCAGTACAGAGTCTACAAAGAAGAATAAAAGGAAAAAATAGAATAAAAAGAAAAAGAAGAAGAGAACTGTAAATGCTCGAGCAAAAAGGTAATGGAGATAGACATCTTGAAAATAATATCGCAGGGCAGCAGTAGCAGCGTTAGGTGACTTGACCTAGCTTCACCCTTTTTTTTTCGATAGATAAAAGGGGCTACACAGAAAGGTGGGGAATTACAGATTAATTATTTAAGAAAACCCTGAACATTTTGAAAAGAGAAACTTACAGATTAATACCTTTACTTTCGGTTAGTCTCACTTTGATCCCTGTATCGATTTAATACCTAAAGTAAACGAATGACCCCCTACTAAGTACGGAGAATATAATATCATACATACATATGTATCTATATATGTATTTATGTATCTATACATATATATTTAATAGTATTAAATTCGTAATTAAATTATATGAATATCATAATAAATAATATTAATTAATATAATTTTGATAAATTTTGTCAATAAATAATACTGTTAATTAGTGCTATTGATAATTACTATAATTGGTAATTACTGTTAATTATTAGAACATTTTTTAAACACTCGAAATAAAAATTACAAACATATGTCCTTATATACTGTAAATAGATATCAATAATAAATAATATTTACAAGGTAAAATTTTAAAATATAAATTGCTATATTAAATACTGTTAATTAATATTGCTAACATTTAAATACTGTATTACACGTAGGATGCATGGTGTTGGATTTGACTTTTGCTATTTAATCATTTTTTAATTAATCATATTTAAATATTTAACCATTTTCCTTTTATCAATTTTTTATTTTTTAAACATTTTATTAATTGCTCAGTTATTTTCTTATTGAATTAGTCAATATTAATTTCTTGATCAATGTTTTATTTGTATAAATTAAATTATTCAATATTTTTCTTCTTAATTAGTAAATTACTTAATCATTTTATTATTTAACTATCCATTCTATAGTGAATAATCAATTATATTTGTTTAATAATATTATAGTAATGATCTCAATTTATTAATTATTTAATAATGTTTTGTTTAAGTAAATGTTTTGAATTATTTAATCATTTTTATTCATAATTGAATAACTTTGTATTTCTCTTATCAATTTGTTACTTATGTAAATGAATTAATTTCAGTTAAATTAATTGAATTAAGGTAATTCATAGAGAAACCAACGTGTGCTTACTTTTTTGTTTTCCTAAAAGTAAGCAACGTGTGGTTGCCCATTAATGAATTGTGACAAGGGATAATTTGGCCCGACCTGGTAAACAAACAACACGTGGACACAACCTGGTGATCAAACGCATGACTCAACATCCCCGGCCACCTCGGGAGGATGGGTCAAATCCCGACCCGACAACTTTAACAGGTCGGGTCACCTCAGCACCTCAGGTACCTCGGATAGTACCGAAGCCTGGGAATCTCGGGATGACTAAACCTATCGAAGTGACACGTAGCAGATCTCTAAGAGCTTGCTAGCCATCTCTGGACTTTTCGGGATCACGTCGCGTAACCAAAGGCATTATCCTCATCTTGACCAAATCAAAAGGAAATAGTAATCCTTGTTAGCTAGAGCGATTTTCACCATCTAGTGCATAACGGACCCCTACGGATCGGTCCAGAGATTCTGGGAGCGTTTCGATAGACCCGCGGGACCCCAGCTATATAAAGGCATTAGCCCCTTATACCAAGTTACGTGCGATTTAGTGCATTCTAGCTCTCCAACTCTCAAGCTTTCAGCTCGCTACTCACCCACTATATTGACTTAAGCATCGAAGCGACCCCACTGGGCTAGCCACCCTGGGTTCTTTTGATTTACTTGTTTTGCAGTTTGACCAAACAGCTACGTAATCAGCGTTCGTGTTGTCCTCTAGCTAGGAGCATCCAAATCGCGCACAATCAATTAGCACCGTCTGGGGGAACCGTCACACAAAAGCTAAGTCTTTGCTTCTTTCTTTACTTCTTACAGTATTCAATGGCATCATCTAGCAACGCCGACAAGGGCATTGATATGGGTGTCATTGGGGGGCATGACGTCACTGATGTTCACTCTGAAGGCCCCTCGATGACCATTGGTCAAATCACCATCCCGGGAGTTTAGACATCCAGGCACGAACTTTTACCACCCAACCACTGCATGCCCCCTTACCCCAGGAGAGCACCACCTTTTCTATTCCTGAGCCTTCTGTAGTTCCCCCTGGGGCCGGGCACCAGCAGTTCGATGAGCTGGTCTAGAGTGTTTGAGTCATGCAACAGATGCATCAGTTTCAGCAGTTCCAACAATACTATCTTTACTAGTAGTACCAACAGCAGTTCCCTCTGCTACCACAACCAAACCAGAACAGGAACTAGAACCATAATCAATGTCCACAGGGTGTACGCCGATCTCCTCCTCGAGGTGTGGAGGCATCTCGGGTCCCGGCCCCTCCCCGGGCCCAAACCCCACCTCGGGACAGAGTTGGGGGTCAGCGCACACCCCCACATCTCAGAAGGTGAATCAAAGAAATCGGCCCAAGAATAGCGACCGAGCCAGGACCGACCTGTAGCAACACTCGTGGCCAAAGAACCGTGATCCCCAGATCAGCAACCGCCAACTCAGGGAACGAGGCGCGGACTCATAATGAAACCCTCTGCCCCTCGTAACGACCGACATATTGTCTGTGACAGAGACGACGCAAGCAACAGGAACCAACCCCCGCCTCGCGATAGTGTCCGGGAGCGAGAGCACACCAAGGTCGAGGTGCCTGACAACACCAAGGTAAATAGCACCAATGTTGAAACCATGAAAAAGCAATGTCATCACAAGGCTCATCGGGCATTAGTAAAGAACAGCCCGGTGAGGAGTAACCTACCACTAGTACCAAGCAAGGCGAGGGAGGAAGTGAGCTCAGTAGCTACACAGCCGGCTCTTGTGTTGAGCTGGCCCTCCTCCCTGGTGCCCGAGATCCTCACAGCCCCAAGGCTAAAAGATTTTAAGACCCACACTAGCGACCTATGATGGGAAGTTTGACCCCAATGACCACGTCGAGCATGTGTGTGGCCTTTTCTACCACATTTAGAGGATTAGCCAGACAATGGTACAAGAATTTAGCACCAAGCTCGATCAAGAGCCGGCAGCAATTTGCAGACTTGTTTATAGTGCCCGAAATCCACAATGAGCCTTTTGAACGTGGTACAGAGGGAGAACGAATCAATTAGGAGCTACGTCGTGCGCTTCAACAAAGAGTGTTTGCAGATACCTGACCTCGACCTGGCCATACGCCTCACCGCATCCCAGAAAGGAGTTTGACATGTCGAATTCTCCTGGCACCTCGGGGTGCTCCCGTCAAAGACAATCGAGAAGTTCCTCGATGATGCCGAAAAATTCATGAGGACGGAGGAGGCTCTCGGGTTCAAGGCAAAAATCCAACAGGGAGAAAAGGAGAAGAGAGATGATGAAGGGGCCAGTAGCAACAAGCATCGGCAGAGGAAGAGCAAGTGGCCCAGAAGAAGTAAGTCTCCGCATAAAAGAAGCAAATCACCACCTTGGGGTTCTAGGTAAGACCGGCGATCCAGGACCACCTACACTCCCCTCAATGCCAAACAAGGAGAGATCTTGATGGCAATCAAGGATTCTAACTACGTCAAATGGCCGCCCATGATGCAAGGAGATCCGACAACCAGGAACCCGAACGTCTATTGCCACTTTCACTGTGACATCAGGCACCAAGAATTATCGAAACCTCCACAACGAGATTGAAGAGCTGATTCACCGCAGGTATTTGAAGAAGTTCATCAAGCATGAAGATAGGGAGGCAACGGATCAACAGGCCAACCAAAGAAGGGAAGCTCCAGAGTCAAGCAGGAGGAACGACCAGCCACTTCGGCAATAGCTGCCATCGGAGGACAGGCCAATCCGTGGGGTGATCAACATGATCACCAATGGTTCCATCGTTGCGGGGTGTAGCACAGCAACAGGGAAGACCTTGGTTCGAGAGTTAGACCATGAAGCTGAGAACCCGCCCAAATGACCTCGAGTAGAGGAGCCCATCTACTTTATCGAAGATGATGCACATGGGATATAGTATCCGCACGATGACACCCTCGTCGTCAAACTCGTAATTAACAACTTTGAGGTGAAGCGAGTACTGGTAGATTCCAGGAGTTTGGAGGATATCTTGTTCCTATAAGCATTTAACAAATTGCAGTTGAGTTGAAAAGACTTGAAGCCAGTAGATACACCCTTAGTCGAGTTCAACGGCGAAGTGGTAAGGCCCCTCGGTCGAATCACAGTACTAGTCACAATGGGAACATGACCCAATTCAGTGCACTTTGAGCGCATGTTCTTAGTGGTCGCAACTCCGTCCCCCTACAACGCAATTCTAGATTGGCCCATCCTGCACGCCCTTCGTGTAGTGGTGTCAACCTACTACTTGTCCATAAAGTTCCCTACGAGCTACGGAGTGGGGGTAGTACGACTATACGAGGCGACTAGCTCGAATCATGTAAATGCTACGTAGCCACATAGAAGCGCAAGGCAAAATTAGCAGAAGATGTCGAGCTAGAGCCTTCACCCGAACATGCAGAAGAGCGAGTTGCACCGATGGAGGAAACCGTCTAGGTCCCGTCTCTAACACTGAACCAAAGAAGACTCTCCAGATCGACGCTTTGCTAAATGAACCACTTCGGTCGCAACTAGTAAGTTTCTTATTCAGTAATTTAGATGTTTTTGCTTGGTTCGCGGTAGGAATGCCCGACATAGACCACAATATAATAAGTCACAAACTTAATATGGACCCTTCGGTCAAGCTAGTAAGATAAAGAAAAATGAAACATCGCCCCGGAGCGATGAAGGATAGTTGATGAGGAGGTCGGAAAGCTCCTCGCAATAGACTTCGTCAAAAATGGTCCAATACCCGAATTGGGTGGCCAACCCGTACTAGCGAGGAAGGCCAACAAAATGTGGCACATGTGCGTCGATTACACCGACCTCAATAAAGCTTGTCCAAAGGATTGCTTCCCCCTTCCCATAATTGACCGCCTAGTATACGTGACATCGGTGCACGAGTTGCTGAACTTAATGGACGCTTGCTCCAACTACAACCAGATTAGGATGGACTTAGCTGACCAGGACAAAACAACTTTTGTAACCGAAATAGGGC